TATGAGCTCTTGGTTCATTAGTCAGAGTTCTTGAGCGATCTGGGTGTCTAGCACAGCTCAACATCCCTGCTAATTTTGAAGAGAGATAAAAAACAAATATTGAGTAACATACAAGAGTGCATCAGTTCAACAAATATCAAGTTTCTGGCGTTGCATTGATTATTATGTAACTTTAAATTATTGGCCTTAGTGTAATAAACTACGTTTAAGAAAATGAAACATTAAAAAACAACAGAAATCCCTTATGTCACTACAGTGAATGTTAGATATAATTTTAGATTTCAGGTGGTTAAGATTCCTTATAATTAAATGTATTATGAATAGTTGCAACAGCTGTATGTATACAATTGACAGCATAACCGTTTCCTGTGTATGCAGTACAAAGTTTCCAGAGATTCTGTTAAGCAAAGATTCCAAGGCTCTGTTTGAAGGATAAAATCCTTGGTATAACCTTACTCGGTCATTTAAATGCAAAAAAGAATGCTGCTGCCATTATATTTAATCTATTTTTGATTGTAGATGAAAAAAATCACTGTCTTTGCCAAAAGTAGTGACTAAAAACTACCATAAGACCTTGTCCTGAAATTTAAATACTTTTACAAAGAGATAAACTCTACCAGACTAGAAGGTGATTTTCAACTTTCCAAATGTTTAAAAGAGTGGACCTCAAGTCCCAGGCTCTATGTCTAGGGCCTTGCCCATTCTAACATACAGCATGTAAATAAATAGAAATTAAAATGAACTAATCCTCCTTCCCATCGTTACCATCACCAAGTGTCACGTGCTTACCACATTTCAGGGACTGTACAATTAATGCTTCATACCCATTACTCTTATGTTAGCAGCAACTTTTTTGTTTGCAAAGTGACCGAGAGAACTAGATATTTTTTAAATTATACATCCCATTTCCAGGTAAGGAAGTGAGGTTTTAAAGTTCAGTAGCTTGTCTGAGTCCCCTAGTCAAGTAAGGGCCAGAGCCAGTTTTTGAACGGCAATCTGGGCAATCTGATGGACTTGAAATCCAGTAGTCTCTATGACGCTCTGAGTTGGGGCTCAAAGTCTAATTGGATCTGGGCATGCATGCACTCAGGGCTGTCAGAGAAGTGCTTTGCCTAGTGTGATGACTGAGTTAAGTGTGGCCAAGGATCACTGTGTCCGCCACATGTATGCCAAGAGCACTGTTTGGACAGGGCTTTATCCTGAAAAACACTTACTGAAGTACTTGCAGCTTCCCAAGTATTGACAGAGTAAAACTCTTTTATTATTATATTTTTACCAAGTATCATGATAAATTAAAAATTTCCCGGGCCCATATTTTCTAAATCTGTCCTGCCTAAGGAATAGAGGAATAAGTGACACTAGACCCATATATTACAATTCTTTGAGTTAGCTTTCCATGTTATGCCTGGAACTTGGATTGAAGTTTATGTAAGACCTTGTAATATGAAAAAGGTTTCCATTTGTGGTATAAAATCCTTGTTGAAGGCATTGAGGTTTTAAGGGCCATTTATATAAGGGTCTGTGTAATAAATAATACTAGCAGTTGAAAAGAATAGCAACAACAAAATTCTTTTTCTAAGAACAAACTCATTTTCTTATATTAGATATGATAACTATGTAAGACACTTGTCCTTTTTGTTCACTAGGGAACTCAAAACTAACATTTCCTGATAGACCACAGACACGACACTAATCAAAATCACTTGGGTGATTTTATTTTTTTACCAATTCTTTCTGCATGGTTTCATTTTCTTTTTCTAATGATTTTTATGTAAAATTGCCTCATTCATTTTCAGAAAGTGGGCAGACATAATTTATTAAATAAATACAGATAAAATAACAACCTCCATTTTGCTGTTGAGCAAACAGTGAAGGTTTCCCAAGCTTGTTCACTGGCCACCAGTGAAATTTCAGTTTCTAAAATATGGCAAAGTATTCTCCTGCTTCAGCAATTCTAGCTGTTGTTCCCCATACCTGTAAGCCCGTTTTCTTTCTTCCCTCCTTCTGGCAACCATCCTTCCCCACTCCCAACACATACAAGTAATAAACACACACAACATTCTTGGCATAGTGAACTCTTTTGCATCTTTACCTAATATTGCTTTCTCAGAGAGAATGTTTCTTCTACCCTATACAAACAAGATACCCAGGTCCCTCTTCACTCATACTATTCTTTATCATCCACCTTGTTCAAATCTTCATTGTACCTCCCATGAATTGCAAGATATGTTATTTACTTACCTGATTTGAAGTTTCTTGAGAACAGAGACTAATTCTATTATATTCACCACTGCATCCACAGCACCTAGCCATGTGCCAGGTCTAAGGGGCACAAATGTAAGAACAATGCAGTTCATCAGTAAGAGTACCCAAGCAGTCAACAAGTGCTGTCACTCAGGGGCACTGCAGACCTCCTGCAAACATTTGCAGGATTTACTGTCAGTGATGCCAGCTAGGAAAATGAAGGGCAGCATGGAACTTGTATACCTCTATTTTCATAGATACTCATTTAAACATTCAAACATTGAGTGGCTTTGTGCGAGCATTTTCTTCTGAGTATTTGAAATATACCAGAAGGGCAAAAAAAGATTCTTTGAGGAGTTTACATTCTAATGGGATGGGGGTAGGCAGACAATAAATTATATAACAAATTAGTAAGTTATATAGTATATTGGACTGTATTGAGATATGGGGGACAATAGAGGTGGATAAAGAGGATCAGGAGCCCTGAGATCCTGGAGAACAGTGTATAGTATTAAATAGGGTAGTCTTGGAAGGCCTATTGGGAGTTTGGGAGGTAAGATTTTAGCAAAGATTCGAAGGAGAGGTGTTAGTGCAATGATTACTTGGGAACAGAGCAGCGCATGCAGAAGAAACAACTAATGCAAAGACTGTTAGGTTGGAGCATGTCAGACGTGTTTAATAGCAAGGGAGTCCTGCTGGCTGGATTAGAAAGAGCAAAGGGGAGGGGTACTAGGAAGTGAGGTCAGAAAGGAAACGGAGTCAGGACCAATTATGTAGAACAATGGTAAAGACTTGGGCTTGACTGAGTGAAACGGTAAGTTACTGGAACATTTTGATTTACAATCACTTTTTAAAAAGAATACTGGCTGCTGTGTTGAATATAGCCTATAGAGAAAAAGTGAAGAAGCTGAAAGACCAGACCAGTTTGGAAGCTGTTGCTGTAACCAGGTAAAGGATGATGAGGGCTTGAATCAACGTGGTATCTGTGGAAGTGGCTAGAAGGGGTAGTATTCTGTATATTGTAGTGTATTGAAGGTAGAACCGATAGGGTTTCCTGACAGATTGTCATGTGGGAGACAGAAGAATCAGTAAGGATTCCAAGTTTTAAATTTAATCAATTATAAGTACAAATTACAGTTTCATTCCTTTTTACTATTCTACACAACAATTGCAGTATTATGATTACTAATAGCTCATCCTAAGGCAAAAGTTGTACCATTGAACCATTTACAATTAGGAATTAGTTACTTTGGGTAATTAAAACATTGTTTCTATGCTCCTTTTCATTTTAATTTTACCCAATTTAGCACTTTACAATTATGAGGTAAAGCTATATTGTAAAGTGTCACTGAGCAATTTAAGATTATATAATTTTGTTTTCTATCTCATCTGAAAATATTGCTATTGCTCAACATGTCCTTTGCATTTTAGCTTTTACAGCATAAGAAGCAGATATGTCTTGGCAAACTGTGTATTACACTTATGAAGTACTTTATCATTTCCAACATGATTTGGCACATCTTATCTCATGCTACCCTCTCCATAACCCTGGGAACATAACAGCAGAAATATGTGTAGGAAATTAAAGAGTTTATATGACGGAGTGGCCACTATGAGAAACCCCCATCTTTCCTAGGCTCAGTCCTTTCACTTGTGTGCTTTGAGCCACTTCCAGCTGATGAAGAAGGATGTAGAACTCAGTGTGCCCTATGTTCACTCAATGCTAAATGGCACAACAAGGATCAAATCTATTGACCTTCTCCCTGTCACCTATGTGCCAGCCAATTGGGCCAGCAAACCACTTTATACATGAGACTTAATCACACATCCAGAATTATTTAATCATTAGTTCCCCTTTATTTTCTTCATATTTTTGTACTTTTCTCATCTATACTATCTTTCTCATCTTTCTTATTCAGGAAAATTAACCACCACTTTGCTGACCTCTCTATAAAATACTAAGCTTACTTCATGGATTGCAATGAAAGAATCTCAAAAATTAACAATGCCACTCATTAAAGTGGTGAGAAGAAAAATGCTATTGTAAATATCAATGAGGTTTGGTAGATACACATCTTTTTCTTTTTCTCATTGAATCTTGAAGCTGTCAAAGAACAACATGCCTTGATTTCAAATGGGAAATATACTTGGTAATGTATGTGTATGCCATCAGGACCAACCTCTCCACTTCAGGGTTTGAACATCTCTTACTCTTTCATCCAACTGCTTGCCAACACCTGGCTCCCAAAATTCATCTAGGGAAATATAATGGAAATAATAATAATCATATGTCTGCGATGTCTTTCTTTAAATTAAGCCATGCAATTAATTTAAACCAATCTCTTTTTCCAAGGCAGGAATGAAGTCTTTTTTGAATTTATAGATAACGTCGGCGCTTTTCACAATCTTGGTCAGTTTTGGGAGTCGTGGGGGAAGGGAAGCAAAGTCATTTGAGGAAGTAAAAGATATTTAACTGCTACGGAGGAAGAAATTTTAATAGATCTAGTAGAAGGAATCGTTTGTAAGAAGTGCAGACAAATGCAAAATGGCATTATTAATAAGTAATGCTACGAAAGAGACCGTCTTTCTAACCACTCACACTTCTGAATCATTTTGGGGTTCCCTGACTTCCTGGCTCTCTGCCCTCCAGCAATGACGCCCCTTCTCCCAATCATTTTCAGGGGTTTGAGTGCCATCATCAACAAGAAGCTTATTATCTACCTGCTCCCCCAGCTTCTCTCTGAGTGACACAACACCCACGCCTCCCCACACAGCTCTTCTTCCGCGGCTCCCGGAGGGAAGCTGAGGAGCTGCAGAGCGAGCCCCAGGCTAGTCTCGCCTGAACCCCGACACTACAAGGCTTCAAGACTCTTGTCACCCACTGATTCTGTGCCCTGGTCGGTCCACCGCCGCGCGCCGCAGGAGTAGCAGCCGGCCCAGCACCGCGCTCCACCGCGTCTGCTGAGCGCGGCACGTGCTGGTGGCAATCCGCCTCCGGCCCCGGGGCCCTCTGCCCGCCGCCGCGGCCGCCGCCACGAGCGCTCCAGCTGCAGCCGAGGCCGCAACGTGAGCGCAGGAAGCCCGCGAGGAACCGCTGGCTGGAGGCGCCAGGCTCCGGGAGCGCACCTGGTAAACACAGCGCGTTTTTCTTTCTTGCAGCTCTGGAGTCTCCGGGGCTGGAGGATCCCGCCGGAGCCCCTCCCCCAGCCCAGGGAGGGAGAGCCTGCAGGCAAGGGGCGGGAGCTCGGGGGAAAGGGACCCGGGAGGCCAGGTGGTGCGCAGGTGGGGACCTGGTGGAGCCAGGCACGCT